GACAAAACTATTCACTTGACTCTGAAGATGACTTCCGCTCAGGTTGTCGAAACGTCAGTCACCAACAACAGTTCTTCTCAGAACTACCCTCACCTGGACGATCACAACATACGAACTACTGATACTCCTGGGTTCAAACCATTTACTATAAAACATTCTTGTTACGGAAAGCTTTGTTTGTATCCATATAGGTTTTTGACAAAAATTATCAGCCCACTGAAGCCTATCATTTAGCAAAACATACTAGAAACAACATGCTCTCAAACATGTATATACATCTACGGTGGAAATCTGATTTTTCAATCCTCCAAGGGAACAAAAATTGGTTTGAAAAGTATATAGGGCAAATTCATGAAAAATGGGAGGGGGGGCAAATAACAGTGCTCAACTGAGGGGAGCCTGAAAACAATTCTGTTATGATTGACTTATCTGGAGGTTTGAAAAATCAAGGGTTTGAGAAACTGGGATTCCACTGTATATTATAGTTTATTTCATCTGGGAAAAGTGATCACTCAAACTAGAAGCATATCCTCTTGGTGCCTGGTTAATTTTCAGTTGTTTGCCTCTAACACGTCAAGCATGGCATGTTCAGTCCATTTCTTTTGTTAATAAACTTCAAACAAGAAATTATTTAAATGGTTTGCACTAAAGTAATTAGACAAAGGAGCAGTCCCTACTGTTCAGAGGAAAAAATATCCACAGTACTGACTCACCGTTAGGAACTTAAAATCAAGTCTGAATGCCAAAACTCATAGAAATATTCTTAGAAAAGCACTTTCAAACACTAAATTTATTGCAAACATTATAGTTTTTGATTCAACAAAACACAAATTTTTGTTTATTCTTATCACTAAGTTATGCTTGTAGTCCGGTTCAAGATTATCTTCAATGCATTAATTTAAGCCAGCAAACTACTAAGCAGCCAATGACATTTGGCCTAGTCACTGCGAACATAACAGACCTATGAACAAAAGAAGTCTGCCAGATAATAACTTGTCACCTTAGATTTAAATGTATAATTTGGTGGATGTGGCTGAAGTGGTTGCACTGGATGTCCCCCCTCCCCTGCCCCCCTTATTGTCCTTTTTATCCCAGTAAAAGGTTCACTTACAGAGACACAAATGGTTTTGTATAACACATGGCAAATTATCCTAGGATGATAGGGTGCCATTAAGAACCTGGTTATCCTCTGCTACAAATTAAAGGCATTTTTTCTGGAAAAATATAAAATTTAGCTTGTTTGCTTCATACATGTGCATATCAAAACAGTTAAAGAAATGAAAAGGTTTCTTTTCAGTTTATTAAATATAGCAGTTCTTTAATATTTGCTCTTTTACGATCCACTGAGAATTTGTAAATTGACAGCTGGTTTATGCCCTGAACAAATTTTACTCCCCCACTAGACAGGTGTGCATATAGATCCCACTCGTTCAATATGGAAAAACAAACGAATCTGAAATCTGACTTTTAAATCTACGTTTGATCTGGAAATAATGAGTGCAAACTTTGAATAAAAACAAGAAAATCAGTATTGTCACGACAACCGCTATCAATTACCTACGGAACTTAAGTAGATCTAAGAAACCTCTATTCAACACAATGTCAGCTGCGTTTTATAATACATTACATTTGTAAGATTCGAGTCCCTTTGAAAGAACTATCCTTTTTTTTCAGTTATTCGCTTTTAGATGTTCTTAACTTACCAGCCAAAATACCATGGCTCCGCTTTCCATTCTGACCTTTCCTTTGACATGTTTAGCGCCTGTTCCAAAGAAATAAACTCCGTTCTATAAGGGAAGAACTGACACTCATCTTCGTTCACTCGATAGGCTTCTTTGTTCTTGTCGAAAAGATCCTTGAAAAACGTAAAATTGAAGCGCCCGACAGCCGACCAGTTCTTCGCACCGTCAACAATCACAACTGGTCGACCACTGTAGGCATACTTCGAGACGAATTCCTGCTTCGACAAGTTAGAAACTCGAGGAATCTCGGTCAAACCTTCACACAAAAGCGTGCAGTTTGTACGCTTACGGGTTACTTCGATGAAAATTTCGTTGACATCCACGAGGCAAAGTTCTTCTTTCACTTTCAGCAGCTCGATCACGTCGAAATAGTATCCAGCTATCGCCAAAACAACAGGTAAAATGACAATCAAGAACCATTTCAAGCTTCTCCACTTTGAAGAGGTTGTTTCACGGTCCTTCCCAACCTGCCGAAGAAATTCCGAACGAACTTTCTCAAGAGTTTCTCCACGTTTCAGCGACTTTTCACGCAGATCGGAAAAAAGAACGACAAGTTCTTCGACGCCTTTCGTCGCAGCCATTAGGGATTGGCAAACCAGGCCCGTCGCCCACCAGACCAGAGTGTCTGCTTTGTCTTTATAACTGTGTTTTCATCAATGCGGCATTGACCTAATGCATATAGCGCCAAAACATTATAAATATTGATAAGCCTTCGTCAATTAACTACACAGCGTGAATATAATAGAAAGAGTATTAAAGAGAGGCAGGGATTTCCTTGTTTCCAGATCTTTGTCGCTAAGAAGCATAGAAAAGTGATGGGGGCGGGGGCGGGGTGGGGAAAGTACAAAAGAAATTCATGCAAGGGAGGGTGAAAAAAAAAATCGTGCAAAGAAGAACTGAAGAAAAAAATCCTGTAGAGTGCATTGCACTGGCGGGCAAAACTGTACCCGCCTGAAGGGCACCTTGGCAGCCACTTTATACTGCAGTGGAAACCCGTTAAAACGGTCACCAACGGGACATGAAAATAAAATTTGGCCGTGTTAACGGGGTAGGATCAAACCACAAGACTGGACTAAATTGAGTGACGTCTTAACAGTTACATCACAATTGCCAGGAGTCCAAGTAACTATTCTTTAATAACATTCTGGAAAAGAGATATAACATTTAACAAAATGAAACTTCAATCAGGGTATAAAACATTAATAATGGAAGGATGAACATAACTGGTTCAAGTGACCGTATCAACGGGGTAAAATTATAAAGGATTCAGTACAGGTTGGGATTTCAGAATGTGGCCGTTGGCCGTATTAACGTTACAGGGTGGCCGCATTAACGGGGTTCCCTTATAAGAAAATGTATGGGCGTTTCGCCGGGACAAAAATAAAAAAAAAAACAGTGACCGTGGTAACGAGGTGTGCGAAGTAACTTCATCATGGATACCGCTGGTAGTTTGCATTTAAGCAAGCTCTCAACATATAGGAACAAAACAATATAATCTAATCTCTTGATAAGAATGATTTCACAACTGAAGTGTATGAATCAAGAATGTGGACACTAGCCTGTTCCAGGCTCTCGATCAGTGGGCATGATCGAAAAAGCGAGCGGGCGACGAGCGGGGTCTGATAGAGAAAAAGGAGAGGTCTCTTTTCTCTCTCGGATCCCGCTCGTCGCTGATCCCGCTCGTCGCCCGCCCGCGTTTTCAGGCGATCGCCCCCACCGACCGAAAGCCTGGAACAGGCTATGTGGACAGAGATGTGCACGGACATGCCGAAATGTAACGCTTCCCTTAAGATAGCCGCCAAGATCAACTTTGCGGGACAAACGTTGGAATCAAAGACAATCATGGAGGCGTTAACACAATTGATGTTTTGGGCAGTTTCAACCTATTTTAGGTTTTGCAAAGTAAACGACGCATTATCATCCAAGTCCGATCAATACATTAAATTTATTAGCTGGAAATCGAGGAAAACACACCAAAAATGCTTCAATTTTGCACATTTTTCTGGGAGGGATACCCCCAGAACCCCTCCCCCCCCCCCCCTAGCGGAATAGGCCCTTTGGCCCATATTTGTAACTGGACTGCCATTCACAGAATCTTAGCTAACACCTTGATTCACTGCATGCCAAGAATGAATTTTATTACAAGGGGAAGGAATAAATAAAATTGATATTTCCCTAAACATCAAATAAAAAATGTAGTGCAGGGCCATTTTAGGCAATAGTATACTCTGATGTATCTGATCAACTTGTCTACTTGGTTATGTGAGTTTTATGTTTCCAAAAAGATTGTCTGAAACATAATAAATATTTTGTTTGAACCCTGTTCCAGGCATTCAGATTGTGAGGAGTGTCCAGATTAAGATTGCTGCGGTATAAAATCCTCCCCCCCCCCCGACAGTGAAAAATCCTGCAAGCTGAAAATACAGTCCCACCCAACCCCGAGTTCTAATGGTCTGTCCCTGAGCTTGGACTCTCTCTTCCGCTTAAAGTGGTTTTTTTCGATCGGGCTGCACTTACCTCACGCAGTGGCTTTCCATAACAACTCTGCGGAAAGAAAGAAAGAACAGCTTCGACTTTTGCCTGTGCTTTTTCGTTTTTGGCGTGTCTCGTCGAGGGAATCAATTACTGTTTTGTATCAATTGTTCTTTACCGATCTTTATTTTATTACTTTACCATCTCGTATCAGACAACAGTCATTATATATTATATTTGCAACATTATTGGTGTTCGCATGATTTTCCTTTTCATGTCCTTTCTCTGTTTCTCCTTTTCTTTCCATCAGACGCGGCCTTTGCCTCCGCGACTTTCTTCTGGTCTTTCTTTTCTCTTACCTTGGGTGCTACGTCTACTGACAACCGGATTGATTTGACTGACACATGGGCAAGTTGATCCATCTCACTCACCCGTCCCACTTTTGCTAAAATGAGTTTATAAAGATCGATTATCATAAGATCAATATGCTTTTCGGAATTCCGTCTGATTGGTTAGCCTTACAAATTGTACTAACAGCTTGAGCTGTATTTCAATACCGCTGACAATTCTTATATACAATAACCTATAAATGTCTCTCTCTGCAGAAGGTTCCCTATATTCAAGAGTCGAAGTCAAACTATTCCAAGGAAACGTGTCTGGTCGCATAAAAGGAAACACAGAGGAAAAGGGCACGGCAAGCATGCATGCCAAGAGCTCCATATTACTCAGATTATCTGCACCTAGTATGGACGTCCAAAAATCAGTGACTCTAATTTGTTTCTTGAGTCAATATGACATTGGCAGTTGGCAAACAGTTTGGCAAACAGTTTGGCAAACAGTTTAGCCTGTTTGGCGACTTTCTCAAAAGATTCTTCATTATTACTTTACTCGCTGACACAGGAAACAACTAAAATATTCACCTGGCATGGTTTACGTCCGGTCTTAGTCGGAGTGCTTAAAATATTTACAGAATGATATAGTGCGCTGCAATGGGTGATTAAGCTGAGGAAGGCAAAACAAAGCAGGGTCTTATTTGGACCTTATTACGTAGACATTAACAAGGTAAGGAGAGTAACGAGAGTAATATTAGTCGTATTCTGCTCCAATAGTGATGCTCAATTCACCAGTGGGAACAACTTTTGTGGAGTGAAACCATTGATTGGTGTCCACTACAACTAAAAGAAAGAAGTATTAAAACAGAACATTAGAACAAGATAGTTGAGAACTTAGTATCAAATACTATCGAGGCCTTATACTGAGAAAGAAGAAATCGCTCTTTACGTGTCCTGCTTCCATCAATTCACCCGTATGATATTATTAAAACAGATAGAAATCCCCACTTAGCTCTCTCAATTTAAGGGTATATTCTGCTTCAACTGATTTTAATATTGAAGACCAACATTTTTCTCAGTTTGAAACACGGAAATTGCTTGTATATTCTATCGTTGATTTCTTCTCAGTTTAAATTTTATGGCTGATAACGTTGGAATGACAACATTACAGTAAAGATAGCAGTATTAAAGATTTCATCTCTTTTTCTGAAAAACTTCAAAACACTTCAAAAGCACTAGACACTACTCAAGTCTAGGCACGTTTGTAAGTAGTCTGCCAGATCCCTCATTCTACCGTCCCTGCCCCCAATCCTAACTTACTTATTTCTCCTTTGTTCATTGTTACGTGCATGGACTTGCAGACATGTTCACACTCTGGGGGAGGAATAAGAGTCCATATCTTCTGCCCTGACAGCTGCGCCTGCCATGATGGACGGTTCACCATGTCTATCTGCAAACAAGAAACAGAATGACGTTAGTTAGTGAGCTTTTAATCGAGAACCAGAACTTTTTTTCCTTATAAAAACAAAATATGCGATACCGTCTCTATTAAGTAAAATTCTTCAAGATTGTATTTTCTTAGTCCCATCCCAGATATCCTTCCAACCTCGTTCTCAGGTCCGGAAGGGCGGGAGGCTTTGATGAGAGACCTGGGAACGAAATTGAATCTTCCCTACTTCCGCCTTTTCCTTATGGGGGTAGAATTCAATTTGAACTCTCTCTTTAATTTCCCTGTCAGGATTCAATTAACCCTATGTAGGGCGGCTGCGCGTGGCGTAGATGACGTTTTATGGATATGACTATATGTATCTTGTTACCTAAGTCCCGAGAAACGATTTCAGCATCACTTCAATATTACTGATTTAAAGCGTTGCTACTTACAGCTGAAGAATACTAAAAGTATGTGACTTGTTCAACATTATTGAGTAAATATGAAATTTAGTATTCTTCCACTTTCATCTTCATTACCACATGAGAAATTATAAACATAAAAAGTTTGTCTCAAAACATAACAGTTTAACATAACAGTTCCTCGACAAGTTGCCGAGTATGTTATGAACTGACTGCCTTGATCACGTGTCACTCACGTGTATGGGTGCACCAGGCCCAGGTCCTCCCATGAATATCCAGTCCTGATCGCCAGTCTCAGCGTCCAGCGGTATAAAGTAAGGTCTGTTGTAGTATTTACGCAACTCATTACGAACAACGGGGTCGCAGTTACTCCTGCATGAAACAAAACAGAGTAGCTTTGATCTGGCATTCCTTAAAACTAACTAACTAACTTGTGACTTGATAAAAATTACGCTCTATCGGGCAAAACCCGTTTTAAAACAGTGCCATGTTTCATTCTCTATAAGGTCGAACTTCCACTCACGGCCACTCCTCTGCAACGGCCTCTTTTGTTTTGGCCCAGCGAAAGGTCCTTACAATAACTCTTATTATAGCCTCTCTACAACGGTAACCTCCCCACAACGACGCCAATGGTCACCAAACGCCAAAACGTTTCCCAACAGCAAAAATAACCTCTCGGCATCCCATGATATTAATAATAATAATGATAATAATAATAATAATAATAATAATAATACATAATATTTTAAGAGGAGGCCTCCAATCACCATAAGGTGGTTTTCAGG